TTTTCATTATGGACTATTATCTTTCCTTCTGCTGATTTTGTAAGGTTTCTATAATTTACCCTATATTAAAAACGAATAATAAACGAAAAAAAAAGAAAAGAAAATGTCTTCACCTTAAAGATTGCATTTGTCTACATTGCTTTGGGGTTTATCTTCATTTTACCACTTTATCTGGTTTGTCAGATCTAAGAAAAGATCTCTCTGTCCACATAGAATGGTAGAGATGTGGATTTCCTCAGTGGCTTGGTTGTAAAATGCTATTGTCTAGACTTGTACAGCTGAAGGGAAGTCTTGAGAAACCTCACCTCCGTTGTTGGTTGGGTAATAAAAGCTATTCACGGAGCCTTTGCGTCAGCCAGAGCCCTTTCCTCTCCTCCGACACTAACTCTGCGTTCATTGAGCAACCACTCTGCGCTACGCAGGGAGGGTTCGTGTAGCAGGTAATACGCTGGTTAAGTTGTCCACGCGATGCGAGTGACAGGCAGGTGAAGCAGTGACTACGGTGTGCAATATCGAGTGGGAAGTACTTCCTCAGAGACTGGGGCCGGGGTCTCGGGTAGGAGGTAGTAAGAAATGCTTTTCGCCGGGCGGTGGTGGCGCACGCCTTTAATCCCAGCACTCGGGAGGCAGAGCCAGGCGGATCTCTGTGAGTTCGAGGCCAGCCTGGTCTACAGAGCGAGATCCAGGAAAGGCGCAAAGCAACACAGAGAAACCCTGTCTTGGAAAAAAAAAAAATGCTTTTCAGTTTTCTGGTATTGGATTCGATAGACAGATAAACAGTATTAAAGTTGTAAGTGACCAATTCCTCCCTAATATCTTATCTTGATCCCAAGAATTTGTGTTTTTTGTTTGTTAGTTTTAGCAGAGGTAAGAATGCAACCCACATGTCTCATGGCCTGGGTTAAGTGTGATAGTACTGAACTCCACCCCCAACTCCCCAGTTATTCACTGAATAAACTATTTATTTATTGACTAATCCCCCTCTTCTCTATGGAATTACAGTATTTACTAAATTATGATTGTATGTTCTGATGATGTATGCAAAAATCAATTTGGGAGCCTCCTTTCCCATTCATTATTTTTTATATTCTTGTGCTGTTTATAAACTTTCCATTATTGTGATTTTATAGTTTGGTATTTGGAATGCCTAACTGTCTTACCTCTCCTTTATAAAATTTTCCTTGCTAGTCTCTCCAGCTCCTCCTTACAAATTTTGGAATAGATTTGTCAAACCCTCCCACAGATATATAATTTAATACAGATAACAGATTAATGTGTGCTGCATTTAAAATGTTTATACCTTTCAGTCCTTTGTTGTACAGGTAATTATCCCATTTGTTTACAAGAAGTGAAGTCTTACTTGTATCATCTTGGAAAATTAGGAAGTAATAAGCAGTGATTAAGATATTTATTTCAGCTGGTTGGTGATGGAGCACACCTTTAATCCCAGCACTCAGGAGGCAGAGGCAGGCAGATCTCTGTGAGTTTCAGGCCAGCCTGGTCTACAAAGTGTGTTTCAGGACAGCCAGATATACACAGAGAAACCCTGTCTCAAAAAATGAAATAAAGCAAAAAAGACATTTATTTGTATTTTGTATGAATTTCTGAGGTTTGCTGTTTTTTTTCTTCATGGCACACACTTTTAAAGATGATGATAACACTCGTTTTAGGTATGTTGGGAGTTGTCATGAGTAAAATTACTTTTTCTTACTATATCCTTATTAAGGAAAGCTACTTTTGAAAAACATTTTAATGGCCAGCAAGATAGCTCAGCCAGTAAGAGCGCTGGCCACGACTCCTGAGGGTCCGAGTTCGATCCCCAGGGCCCCCAGGGCGGAAGGTGAGAACAGCTGTCCTCTGGCCTCCGTACACATGGACACCCCCTCACCTTCAAAATAAATAGATGAATGGAGTTAAACATCAAAATCAAAATTTAAAAATACTTTTATTCAGTCACTGACCCAAGTCATATTATTTCTAGTAGTTTTGTTTTCCCAGTGATTCTTTTCAAGTTACTTAGCAGTTGAACAGTGGAAGGTTTGTCATCATAGTGAACGTCACAGAGGGGCGCCGTTAAAAGAGATTGTGTGGTGCTGGACACTGCTGCTGAGTGCTTCCCAAACACTCAGTGTTGAATTGTGACAACTTCCGTGGATAGGTGTTATCACCATCTTGACTTTACAGAGGAGGGAAATAAGAGTTTGGAGAGCAAATAATGGATCCAGGAGGTGAAACCAAGTACTCTGGCTCCAGGGTTCGGGCGTGACGTCACTTAGCCAAGCTGCCAAGCTGATAGGCGGTGCCCTGCAGTGCACAGAAAGATCCTTTCCCCAACACAGCTGCGCGGTATTCTCTTGCAAGAATGCAGCAACGAACAGATTTGCAATAGTTTGCTGTAACAAGTAACGACACAATAGTTAGCCTTACAAACAAACAATTTCATTTGCAGGTATAAAAATTAGCATAAGCTCCCAGAGGTAGAACTTTAGTGTAAAAGGAAGGATGCATTTCAGTTTTTCATAATCAGATAGAAATGTCTTAGCAAACTAGGAATAGATAGGAAACACCTAAAGAATCTAAAGAATACATAAGGAAAGATTACTATTAGCAACGGGCTATTGGCACAGTGGCCTACATCTGATCCCAACACTCAGGAATCTGCAGCAGGAAAATTTGCTTGTGAGCTTAAAGTCAGTCTGAGTTACATAAATAGTTCAAGGACAGCCTGAGCTATATAGAAAGATCTTAGTGTTCTGGTAGAACCTCCACCTCAGGCCCTGGCACCCCGGCATACATATACCCAAAGAGTCTGGAATGTTCTGGTGGTAGATCCACCTCAAGTCCCCTCCCCCATCTCTTTCCCCAAACCTGCCCCTTCAAAGCCCGTCAAACACGGGTCCTCCCTGTGAAATAAACTTGGGGCTGTCTGGCATTGGCCGGCAGACCTCTCGACTCTTTTCTGTCTTCTTCATTGTCTCTTCAATCCGCATGCCTCTATTCAGCTACCCAGCTGACTGTCGGCAGGCCCGACAGACAGAAGATGGCTGGGCACAGAAGAACCTCCACCTGGAACTTGCTTCGGAGTGGCAGCACCAGCCACTGAGATGGTCACAGAAGAACCTCTACAGCTGCCAGGGTCTTCTTCAGACCATGGACAACAGGACCCTGGGAACGCATTGCCTCACTTTTGCCTAGACAAGGTAGGCTGGTCCTCCCCACAAGCTTCTACCCAACAACTCTTGGATATTCTGAAGTCTGGGAGACCTAGGCCTGGCAGCTGAAGACTGATGTTGTTGCCCTGAGACCTCTGCCCTCAACAACCCTGGAGGACCCTGGGGTGGCTGTCTAGGTAGCCAGCAGTTGGTCTCTGTCACTCTCAATTGCTAACTCCGGTAAAATGCATCCTTCTCAGATCTCTGATGCCATTTGACCACCAGGTTTTGCTTCAGCTGCCTTCTCGGCTCTCTATGTAAAATTCACAGCCTCATTTCCCTTAGGGCTAATAATGCTGCTCTCAGCATCTCCTGGTGAATTAGATAAAAAGAAACAGCTTTAAGGTTTACTTATAGGAAGCTAGGAAAGCTGTCTCACTTCTGTTCTTATTTATCTTTCTCAGACCTGATGATGTGTGCGAGTTCTAACAGCTCTCTACCCCAACTCCAAGGTTTCTGTGGACTGTACTGGTCCCAGCTTTTAGAGACAGGCTAGCATTGGAGAGGGTAGGGAAGCCTCCCTCCTCCTCCTCCTTCTTCACTCACCCAACCACTTCCATTCAGTACATTTCCTCAGGTTATAGATTTAAAGATTTGTTTTATTGGGCTGAAAACAGACCCTAAAAATGTTCATACCTTTTAACCCAAAGCCATAGCCTTTTTGCTATGATACCAAGATGTAAGTCTGTTCCAGTTTCTTTTCTTTTTTTTTTTTTTGGTTTTTTTTTTCGAGACAGGGTTTCTCTTGTGTAGCTTTGCGCCTTTCCTGGAACTCACTTGGTAGCCCAGGCTGGCCTCGAACTCACAGAGATCCTCCTGCCTCT